TTCCCCTTTTGCCCCTCCCCTAGGGCCTGAAATCCGATCAGGCTGGGGGGGGGGGCCAGGGGGTGCGGATGGGGTGTGAGGGTTCGAGCTCCGAAACGCATCCCGGCGTCTCCAGAACCTCTCCAGGGACTACATAGCGCCACGACGGTCCAAGAGGGCCCAAACAAAGCGCCAAGACAATCCACATCCAGGGGGTCGGCCCGACGACGTCCTGCGCACTGGCATGCGGAGCGGGGTGCTGAGGAATTTCTGCGTGCTCCCAAGAAACATGTCTGGAGCACGTAGGATAGGGGGCTGGCGAGCCTCTTGGAGTTTCCTGGGGGCCTCCAGGGGGCGTCTTAGGTTCTCGGATGGGCGCCTCTGGGGCACCTGGGAAACTTTTATGGCAATGTTGGGGCACAAGGCTCGGAACCGTCTTTCAGGTTGACGCAAAATCGGGTCCAGCCTCAATGGGGGGGATGCAATGGATCTGGTGCAATAGATTTGTGGGATTGCAAAAGACCTGGGCCGTGCAACACGTTCCAGTGCGAATGTTTGTTGGTTGGGTTTTGCGCGTGCAATACGTAAGTTGGAATACAGTGCGGTACAATTCTCTGGCGCAATAGATTTGCAATACGGTTGCCCCAAATCTATTGCATCACCCCCTTTCAACTGGACCCATTTTAGGGTCAACCAAAGTCTTGGAAGCCTGTGAAGTCGCCTTGGGGGCGTCTTGGGGCGTCGTTGCGCCCCTCGGGGTCCCCGTGGGGCTCCGTCGGAAGCCACCTGGGCCATCTTGGAGCGATGGTAAAGCCCTCTCAGGCCGTCCTGGGACTGTTCTGGGCCGTCTTGGGGGGCTCTGGCCGTCCTTACGCTCTCTCTTGTGGGTGGCTTGGGGCCCGCTCTGGTCTCTCTTGGGGGCCTCCTGGGGCCGTCTTGGGCTGCTTCCTTTTGTTTTCTCCTCCGCCGAGCCTGGGGGGCCACAGGGCGACGGGCCACGGGCAATGGAAGGCCGCGCGGCGGGCAGCGCGGGCCGCGGGGGGCCACCCGCGGCGCGCCCAGAGCGGCAGGCGCGTCAAGGGGCCAGCAGCAGCTGCGATGGAAGAGTCGCCGACGTCCGCAAGGCAGCCAACAGCTGTGGACGCAAGCGGTTGCCACGGAGTTATATCAGGGGGACGTAAGACCTGGGTGCGGGGGACTCGGAAATCCCCGACGAGGTCGTCAAAAAAATGACGAGGCCGAGCCTGCATTTTGACGAGGCCTCCCGCTGCAGACATCCCACGAAACTCCTACTCGTCAAAATCCGAGTCGCGGTCGTCAAAAAACGATGGCGAACCCGAGTCCTGGCAAAACCGGGTCTTACGCTCCCCCGATTGTAATCGATAAACAGCTGACCGAGCGGGAAGAGGAGGACGCCCGAAACACGGGCGATGGCCTTGGTGAAGGACATCTGTTTTACGTATGTGTTGTTCATGCGCTTCCTCTGCTGTAAAATGTTGAAGCGCCGGGTGAACCAACATAAACGATTCGACAGGGCATCCAATGGCAAGATTGCGATAGTGTTGCATTGAAACTGATTGGGATATGCACAAATCAGGGACAAAGACCGCCGTCCAACCGGCAACGTCCGAATACCGACAGCTTGTGGATAGTAATGGTATCATAAAACTCGTACCCATAGGTTGCCTGCTCATCTTCGTAAAGGCGACCTGGCTAATCTATCGCAGCTGCAAACTCAATGACATTCCGAATGGCATTGCTGCATCGTCCAACCTATTTTTTCTTCAACGAAAAACGGATTTCCGTGCACATGCAACCTGCGTGTGTCCATGGTCACATTTACACGACCTTCGATACTTACATGCGTTTCGATTGCGCTTGCCGTGTCATCCGGGTGCAGAAACCATGTTTCAAAAAGAACAACCAAATCATACCGAACATGTTTCAGGTCTTCGAACAAAGAACAATGGCAACCCAACAACTGTCTTACCATTCGAGTCCGGGTGTTCTCGACTGGGTTGCGCGAAACATAAGAGATACTCTCGAGAGGGTGCACCAGAGTAAAAGTCGAACATACATCGTGGGTATCACGAACCATGTTCTGCCGCAGTCGCATTCGCAACGTATGTCTCGGATCCCTTTCAAGCAGACCCTGCACCGATAGCTCAAAGTGTGGCCGCCAATGCTGTCATGCCAATACTTGTATCTGCTTGCGGACGACGCTAGGGCTCGACTCACTTTGTCGCAAACTTTTGGTTAAATAGTTTCCGCCCTCATCGTCGCACATCCGACCGTAGCATTCAAACGAGCCACCATACCCAGGAAGCGGGTACTGTTGGCGTGGTATCAAATCTGCACCCACGTGATTGTGATTGCCTTTGGTGAAGGACAGCTTGCCGAACTCCCCATCGAACTGTCGCAGAAACAACTCCATCAACGTGATTCCAGAATGTGGCAAGCCAGTAACACACGCCATCTTTTGACGCTTCGTTCTCGTGGCAACCTTTCTTCCAGGCTTTAATTTTCTTCCACCAGAGATTTGCCGCGCCACTTGCTGGCGTTTCACGTGGGACCGCCCGCCCCCCGCAAGAAACTGTGAATTGAGAACCCTTGGGGCGTTTTGCCGAATCCGAGAAAAGCCGCCTACGCGCAGCAAGCTCGGGGCAAAGCTCGGGCTGACCTCGTAGCACAGGGAACTCGCGGCCCCAAACGAAGGGACCTTGATAACGAAATGGGACAGGGTAAACCAACACGCCAGCAACGCCACGACGTTGATAGTCAAACATGCGAATAGCCATAGACCCAAACAGATCTTCCTTGCTATGGCTGGCCAGTCCAACTACGTTGGCTCCCTTGGAGCACTTGGCTGCACTTTTAACATTCACGTTTTACTCATGGACTAATGGGCGCGTAACCCCTGCCTCGTAATTTGAACGCAGGTTGTCCTGATTGCCGGCCAAAATCTTTGTAACTGCCGTAGCATTTTGACAAGCGAGGGCTTCCTTCCCGTTATTTACTTCTGTTCTGGCCTTCGCCTTTGGCTCTGCAGTCCGTGGCCACGTGGCCAACTTGAACGCACTTTAGCATGCGTATGGTGCTCCTCCTGCAATTCGTTAGTTGTATTGGCTGCGTCCATGTCGTCTTCGCCCCAGCCTTGGTCGTTACTTTAGCCTGTGTTACCATTTTGTCCAAATGTCACTACTTGCCCTCTTCGTCATGTCCTTGGTAGATGGCTGCTTGCACAACGCGCTGTTTTTCCTCGCCCATTCCTCCGATGTCCATCGCATCGCGTGTTTTAGTGTTCGCATCCAATCGTTTTTGTCCGAACCCCGTCGTCGCATCTCAAAACTAACTGCATACGATTTGATCCTGATGACTTGAAACAACAATCGCCGAACCACTCCCCGGCCCGACGTGTATCAGTATAACCTTTTCGAGCCGCTATGTGAACGGTACAGAAGTTCATACGATTTGGTCCACATCACAATCGTCTCTACCAGCACATTCCACTGCTCGAATTTGGGCAAGTCTTGGTTGCCCGCGAGTCCTTGCTTTTGGGGTGGTGGTGGAGGTATTTTGTCCTCGCGTCACGATTCGCTTGCAAGCCAGCTTAACGAATTCGTGGTCACCTTGATTGTACGCGATCAAGCAGTTTATTCCGAAGCTGGCAAAGTTATATTCAATGAGTTCGTGCCGATCTGTAGGTGCTGCTATACCTGCTATCGTTGTCAGGTTGTCGCCCCGCGACCATGCAACATTGCCAAAACGATCTTGCCGGAGCCAGGGCGCTGCTTTACAGTAGGCGGTCAACGCTGGAAGTGCACACGCCGCCTGACGTCGGTTATAGTTGTTGAACCAAGCGCCGGCGGTTGCCCAGTAATCTGGTGTCCTTCGTTGAACTGAACCACCCTCCCTTCCGCCCCCTCCTTTGTCTCCTCCTCCTCCTCCTCCTCCTCCTTCCCCTCCTCCTCCTCCTCCTCCTCCTCCTCCTCCTCCTCTTCGTCCTCGTCCTCGCCCTCCCTCCTTCCCTCCCTCCCTGCCTCCCTCCCTGTCTCCCCCCCTCCGTTTCCCTTAGTCCTCCCCCCCCCCCATCCCTCCCTCCCCTCTCCCCCCTCCTCCGCCCCACTCCCCCGATCCCGTTCCCCCCCCCCCCCCCCCACAAACGCCACGCCGCCCGCGCCGCGACGGGGCGCGCCTCCGAGGGGCGCTGCTGCGCAGCGGCGGGGTGGGGCGGCTGCGGGCGCGCCAGGGCGCCCCGCGCGCGTCCCGCCGCGCCCGCGCGCGCGCCCGGAGCAGCTGGCCCTCTGGCGGCACGCCGTGGGGCTGCGCTCCGCTGTGGCCGGCTGCGGCCCCGTAGAGGCGGAGGCTGGGGGCCGCCGTGGGCGGTCGGAGGCCGCCGGTGCGTCGTCGTGGTCGTCGTCGTCGTCGTCGTCTTCGTGTCGTCGACGGCTCGTCACCGCGGTGATGGTGGTGGTGGTCGTCGTCGTCGTCGCCGTCGTTTTCGGCTTCTCCTTTTCAGACGGCAGAAAAATCCACCCCGATAGCAACCACCCGGGCACGCGAAGCAGTTTAGTAAACGCACCCCAAAAAAATCAAACGGGGCAGGGCTGTTTAGTAAACGCCCAGGTCCGTTGAGTAAGCGCCAATTGTCCGGTCCGGGTGGGTTTTCCTCCCTTAATTTTTCTTCTTCTTCTTCTTCTTTTTATTTTTCTTCTTCTTCTTCTGCTTACGCGTCTTCAGAATACGGGTGGCTATTCTGATTCTTCTCCTTATTCCTCTTCGTCGTTCTCCTCATCCGCGTCCCATCACCCTCCAAGTCCCGCCAGCCCTCTGGGCGATAGGAATTCTAACGAGGGTCTCTTTCCTCTTCTACGACCCTTTTTCCCTTCGGGGAGGGGAGCCCTCCCCCTCCCCCCTGTGGGTTTTTGTTGGGAGGGGGCCCGATGTGTCAGAGGGTTCTTTTTCGGTCCCTGGGACGGTCACTTTTTGACACTGGCCCCCGAGGGCGGGAGCTACATCGAAGACCCCCCCCCTTTTGACCGACCGCTTCCAAGATAGCCCCCAGAGGCCCCCCCCAGGGCTCCCAAAAATCCCCCATGAGGGCTCCAAGGGCGCCCCAAAAGGTTCCAAGAGGCCTCCAAAAAAGGCACCCGAGAGGCGCCCAGGAGGCCCCCGAGCGGCCTCAGAAAACCCAGTGTGACCTCCAAGTTGACTCAAGATAGCCCAAGCTGGTTCAAGATGGTTCCCAAAATGCCACAGAAAACTCCAATCCCGTTCCGAGACGGCTCGATATGGCCTCGGGGCCCCCACTCAGGCGCCAGGAAGCGAAACATCTCCTCTTCACTCTCTTGGTCCTCCTCATCCTCGTCCTCGTTCTCCACGTTCTGTTCCTCTTGCCTCCCTCCTCCTCCTCCTCTTCCTCCTCCTGCTCGTGCTCCTCCTCCTCCTGCTCCTCTTCATCCTCCTCCTCCTCGTCCTCCTCTCCTCCTCCTCGTTCTCCCCTTCCCCCCCCCGCTCCTCCTCCTCCTCCTCCTCCTCCTCCTCCTCCTCCTCCTCCTCCTCCTCCTCCTCCTCCTCCTCCTCCTCCTCCTCTCCTCCCCCTCTCCTCCTCCTCCTCCTCCTCCTCCTCCTCCTCCTCCTCCTCCTCCTCCTCCTCCTCCTCCTCCTCCTCCTCCTCCTCCTCCTCCTCCTCCTTCTGTTCGCCCCCCCCCCCCCCCCCCCGCGCGGGCCCGGATATGGCCCCGACACGCCGTCCAGGCCGGCCTCCGTCGCTGCGTGTCTCTTCGTCTCTCCCGCCGCCAGCTCTCATGGGCATCGTTTCTGGATGGTCTGGTGGGGATTTTTGCCCCGCGGGCGCACGAAACGATTTGGGCGCCGAGCAAGCAAGACAGCGTTTGCAACCTGCAAAAGCAAAAACAGGACGAGAGCAGCAAAACCCAGCGTGGGGCGAAGTACTCAGTGCGGCACGTATACGAAGAAAACGGCAGGCGGGGGAGGTAATACAGAAGTACTGCCGGGCCCGCGAAGATGCCGCCTGCGGAGAGCGAGACGAAGGCGGTGGCACGTAGCCCAGGAGCAAGAGCCAACCTTGCCGTACTGGTAGAACTTGATGCGTGCGCGAGCACCACGAGCGGGACGCGAATGCAGCCAAAATGGCGCGAGAATAACGAGGGCCGGTCGGATTGGTGGGTACGCGACGCTTCAAGAATTCCTATCCTATTTCCCTTTTTCTTCCCCCCTTCTTGCCCCTCCTCTTCGTCCTCCTCGTCCTACTCGTCGGTATCCTCCTCGTCCTTGCCTCGTGCTCCTCCTTAGCATACTGTTTCTCCCGGGCCTCCTCTCCTCGTCCTGCTCGTTTTCGCTCCATCTCAGCCTCCTCATCCTCGTCCATTCTGTCCCGCCCCCTTGGCTCATCTATCCGTCCCTCCCAAGATGGGGGCCTCCAGCCCGCATGAGGAAGCAACATGTGAAGGGGCGGCATCAGCCCTCCCCCTCCGCACGCACTGCCAGCATCACCCCCGCTCGCCCCACAAGGGCTCTAATATGCTCTGCTCACACGTCGACTTGATGGCCAAAGCTCAGCAGCCCTGGGGGCCGACGGCACATTGCGTAGCCCTCGAGATAATAACGATGAGACAAATCTGGCCGGAAGCGAAGGTCGAGGATCGAGGATCGAGGATCGAGGGTCGAGGATCGAGGATCAAGGAGCAAGGGTCGAGGAGCGGGGGGGGCGCAACGCTGGGAGGGCACGGGCGGCGGGAAGACCGGCGGGGGAGCAGGGAAGGAGGAGAAAGATTCGCAATTCTTGTGCTGACGCACTGCTGCGCTGGCAATCGGTGAAGTCGCTGGCTTGGTCTGCGCGTTCGGTGGTATCTCATGGGAGCCTCCCGTACCATCTTGTTGGCTCTTGCGAAATCGACGCTAGTCGACGCTAATCGACGCTAAATCGGCGCTATCTCATCGACTCCCGGACGCTAATCGACGCTAGTCGACGCTGAAGATGGAATTCAGAGGGTACACCAGGCTCCCATGATTTGCTACCGAAGTCGCTGGCTTGATCTGCGCGCGTCTCCCCTCAGAGACGGTCGATTGAAAGATGTACTCTGGTGTCTGTGGGGCTTTGACGACCAGAGGGACTTTGGAAAAATCATCCCAACTGCTAGCTCTTCGAGCGATTGCCGTCCCCAATTCACCAAAAGCACGTCAGCTACACCTACCCAAAACCATGTGAAACGCTATCTACTGTAAGACCATGGCTGAGCGGAAAAACTGTCAGCTGCTACGATCACTCGACGTCACCACTCCGTGTTTCGACACGTGCGCGAGTAGAACATTGTGGCAAGCGAGGGGATGAAACCAATTTGCGAATCGAGACAGAGACGGGGCGTTCACGACATCAATCAAATCACACCGTATAGAGACACTCTGGGCGGCTTTGATAAGAGAACCCTAAGACCCGCAATCGTGCCTTCAGCACGTCTTGGAGTGCCCCAAGACTCATACAGGAATGAGTGTTAGAAGAGTTGTCGGAAATTCAGAAGTGCACAAGCTACCACTTTGTTGTATTTCCCGTGCTCTTCGTCGCTCTTTGGCGTTTCCCGCATGGGCCTCGGGGAAGCCAGATCCGCCCAATCTGACTCCAACATCCCCCACTAACCTTCCAAACAAACCCCGCTCATACAAGCTCAATCGGTAGCCCATCTCTCAGGGGCCTCTCGGAGCGTCTTGGCGGCCCCGGGGGCCGGCCCCACATGCCAATACGATTTGAACCGCTGCAACCACTTGCCCCCCAGACGATGCAGGCACGCAGAGGTTCTCGCTCGTGCGCCGAAACGTTGGCTGGCGCCCGTCTGGTCGGCGCCCCTGGGCGCCTCGTGGGCGCCCCGCGCTGGGTGGGCCGTGGCGAGGCTCCGCCCAGCGCCAGCCCGTGAGCGCCCGGTGGCCGCCGCGTGCGCTGGCCGGGCTGTGCCGAGGTCTCGCCCGGTGCCCGCCCGTGGCCGCCCGTCGGCGCCCCGCGGCCGCCTCGTGCGCTGGGCGGGCGGCCACACGGCCTGCGCCACAGCCTGCACCACACGGCTCACACCATAGAGGTTCTGCCGCACAGCACTCACGACGTAGCTTGCACCCCGATCAGAGCTTGCACGACGCTCATATCTGACACCACATAGCCTACACCCATGTTGCACCGCGCAACTGACACCACATTGCTTACATCACGTAGCTTGCACCAAACATCTTACACCGGATACATTGCAGCACGCACCTTGCACCACTTATCTGGCACCACATACACGTCATCACGTATGTCGCCCAATAGCTTCCACCACATAGCTAATCCCATTCCACATCCACAGTGCAATGACTGTCTGTTCCACGCCGACAAATATCTCTGGACCCTGGACCATCCAAGACTGGAAGGCTGCTCCACATGCCCCAAAGACTCGCCCAAGAAATCAAAGGCCCAAAGACGGGCCCAGGGAGCTCCGAGGAGGCTCCCAAGGGAGGCCCTAAAGGCTGAACTCAAACTGAAATGTGGAGCCATCCACCCTAACGTGGCCGCCCGAGACAACCAGCAGGCCGCCGAGAGGCAGGCAGCCCAAGAGCCCCCAAAGATCGCCCAAGAGGCCTCCAGGATGGCCCCCAGAGTGGGCCCCAAGACGGCTCAACAGGCCTCCAAGACGCCCAAGATGGCCTCGAAGACGGCCTTGGAGCACCCCACGGGGGTCCCAAGTCGGCCCAGAGAGGCACCCAAGACGGCTTCCGACGGCGCCAGACGGTCCAGGAGCCCACCAAGACGGCCCAATATGGCCTCAAGATGGCCACAGACAGCCCAAGAGGTCCCCAAGAGGCCTCCAAGACGGCCCAAGAGGCCTCCAAGGGGACCTCCAGGAGGGCCTGAAGAGGCCAAAATCATTCATTATCCTTGGATGTTTGAAGGATTTTGGAATGTGCTTCGTGACGGCCTTCCGACGGCCCGAGAAGGCCCACGACTCCCCAAAGATCGCCCAAGGGGCCTCCAGGATTTGGATGGCCCCAGAACGCCCCAAGAGGCCCCAAGAGGGCCCAATGGGGCCCCCAAGACGCCCAAGATGGCCTCCGAGAAGGCGCTGGAGCACCCCAAGAGGGCCCCAAGTCGGCCGGAGAGGCCCCCAAGACTGCTTCCGACGGCGTCAGACTGGTCATGAATACCTTAAGACGGCCACAGAGGCCCCTGAGAAAAGCCCCCGAGAGGCCCACGGAGGCCCCCAAGATGTCTCCAAAAGGCTCCCAGGAAGCTCCCAGCAGGCCCTAAGAGTGCTCCTAGAGGCTCCCAAGATGCCACTCCTCCTCCTCCTCCTCCTCCTCCCTCCTCTTCCTCCTCCTCCCCCTCCTCCTGATCTTCCCCGCCATCCTCCCCCAAGTGTTCCCCGAATGGCTTCCAGAACGGTCGGGGGAACACATGGTCCGATCGCTTGGCAGAGCTCTTGCCACAACGCTCGGCCACATGGGCGATTCCAAAGACAGGGGGCGGCGGTGATTCGCTTTCGGCGTCTCCGATAGATATCGTGGACCCGATCCGACCCCAACAAACCTCATTGTGACCCGACGGGTGGACCTATGGGTACGGCCTGTAAGACCACGTAGTAAACGAGGCAACGGATAAGTCGGGCATGTCCCCGTACAGGCGGAATTGGGAGGAAAAAGAAAAATGGTAAAAAAACATGTATAACATCAACAACAGTCGAAATATCGTCCCCATACGATGTGCTCTTCACTATGTTTGAATATTCCTCCTGAGGAGGGACGTGCCCGACTTAAGGCAAGGGCCACGTGCAACGGGGGCACGCCACGGGGCACGAGACCCTTGGCACTGGCGGCCGATCTCGGGCGTGACACCTTGCAGATGGGCCCCCCAGCTCGTGCGAACACACAGAGGGACGTCACGGACCCGCCGTCTTGTGACAGCCACGGCTGGCTCCCTCAGCATCGGGTACGTACAGTCAACCAGGATAGTAAACATGCGCGACAAGGATGCAAGGGCCTTGGACGCCCACCTCGAGGCGTTTCGAGCGGGGCGCGGCCAACGAAGGTGGCCAAGGATGGACCCCGGAGGCAAGGCTGCCAGGGCACCCCTTGGGAAGGCCGCCCATCCTGAACTATGCGGGCTGACTGCGTGCACGCAGGAGCGGCCCTGGGCGAGGGGTGACCTCTGGTGCGCAGCCCTCGGGGTGAGCGCGTGGGCCGCATGGGAGGCCAAGACCCGAGCGCACAGGCCGCTGCCGTCGCAGCGAACCAATGTCGGCGGCGACGATGGGGGCGAACGGCCCGGGGGCGGGCAGTGCACGTATTCGTCCGTGAGCCTGGTCGAAGACATAGGATCATCGGCACCCCTGGATACGTGTATTGCTCCCCCCTCGGCTATTCGCCCCTATCGTCGCCTCCGACAATGGGGGGCGACAACTGGGGGGGAGAAAGGTGCACTCTTCGGACCCCAGGCGCCTCCTCTGGGCCCCGAAAGGGCCACTTTTCTGCAGCCCTCGCTGCCCCCCTATGTCTCACCCCCCCCATTACGCGTGGCCCAAGGGCCCGCACCAGAGGTCACCCCGGCGAACGGTCGCTCGCTCGCATGGCGGGCAACCGTCAGAATCGCAGCACCCGCCGGCGCAGCTCCCTGGCGATCATGGCGCGTTCCTCCTGCACGCTGGCGGAGCCCAGGATGGCGGAGTTTTCCTGGGTCCGCCGGATCAGGTACGGCATGACCTCGGCGATCGGGCCGTAGGGCACGTACTTGTAGGCCTTGTAGCCGTTCTTGCCAAGCGTGAAGGTCAGGTTGTCGGCCATGCCCAGAAGCTGCCCGAAGTAGACGTTGCCTCTGTCGATGCCCAGCTCAGCACAGCGGCGCAGCGTGTGCTCTACGGAGCCTCGGTTGTGCGAGGCGACGAGGACCTCGGCGGCAGCTTTGGGCCCGCAGGCCGCGCTGTGCTCCAGGATGGCGTCGATGACGGCGTGGAAGTTCTCCTCGGTGGCCGCGTAGTCCTCACAGATCGGGGATTCGACGCCCCTCTTCCTCGCCTTCTCCCGCTCTGACACCATGTAGGCGCCACGGACCACCTTGGCGCCGAAGCGCCAACCCTCCCTTCGGGACCGCTCCAGATCTGCCGACCGCTCGGGCCTCTGGGCGCGAGATGATATGACGATGGGGAGGAGGAATGACAGAGGGAGGAGCGGATGACGGGGCAGGATGGTAAGGTCGGAGGGATGTAAGAGGGAGGAGGGGAGGAGGGGATGTAAAGGGGATGAGTCGGGATGGGGGAGTGGACTTGGGCCAGGCTTGGGGGCTCCACACTGTCGCCTGCAATGAAGCAGACGCTTCTTGCATACTGCTACTTTCGGGGCCTGCCTGGAACAATCAACCTACCTGAGTCTTCTGGACGGGGGGCCCGCTGCTGCCAACTAGCGGGCAGTGGGGACGGGAAGGGGATGAGGGGGGGGAACTAGATTCTAGATGGGAATGGAGGTGCTCGATCTGGGGCCAGATGTGCATATGAGATCTGGGTCAAGTTTGGAAGGGGGAGGTGAAGGAGTGGATGAGAGAGGACGGGGGGAGAGGGGAGATGAGGAGAGTGAACGGGATGACTAGAGGAGACGTAAGGGAAGGATAGAGAGGGGAATTGGAGAAGGGGAAGGGGGGAGGGCTGGCGGGGAGGGGAAAAGAGGGGAGGGTAGTCTGGAGTGGGGTGGAGGGGGACGGGGGAGGAGAATGAGAGTAGCCTACCTCGCAGTCGATCGATCCGGAAAGGATTTTTGGGAAGGGAGGGATGGAGTGGGGACGGAGGAAGGTGGGGAGATGTAGAGACGGAGGGAGCACGAGGGGGAGAGCAGGATTGAAGAACTGCACTGCGTGAAAATAACAGCAGAAACGATGTTCATGAATTCCATCCGTATACATGGTGGACTTTTCCAATATCGGCGGCGAGCGAGGGGAGGACGCGAGAAGGAGAAGGCCTTCTAAGAAGGTGTCGGGACTTCTCAGGAGGCCTCGCGCCTCCTGAGGCGTTTTCTGTGTCTTGCAAGCTGGGAGAACTTCTCAGAAGGCTCAGGGCCATCCAAACCTGCTGAGAAGGCCATCTCCTTCTCACTTCCCCCCAGGCTCGCCGCCGACAATATCCAGGATCGAAATACTAAGCTCATGCTGACAAAACTTCTGGCCCGCCCTACTGGCGCGACGAGGAGGAGTCACTCATAGAGAGGGAGCGAGAGGGATAGAGAGAGAGAGAGAGAGAGAAACAAAAGAAAGGAAAGCGGGATCGAGCAGCGGCTTCAGAAGGGGGGAATGAGGGAGGCGGTAGGAGGAGGACGAGGAGGAGGAGGAGGAGGAGGAGGAGGAGGAGGAGGAGGAGGGGGAGGAGGAGGGGGAGGAGGAGGAGGCGAGAGGAGGGGCGGGGGGCCCTCTCTCGGGTTCGAAGTGAGTGCTGGGGTCTGGCGGCGCCAAGCTTCACGCTCCTACGGATCTCGGCCGGCCTTGTCCCGCATGCCCTTGAGATACGTCTGGTAGGTGTTGAACACCACGGGCCGATCGCCGGCGTTGTACTTTCTCTGGGCAGGAGGGCGGGACACGAGCACGCGATCGGGCGCGGACTCCGGACGCCCGCGGGCGGCATCCCCCCGCTCGTCGGACCCCCGCGCCCGTCAGCACCCCTGGGCGGCGCCCCTTCGCGCGCGCCCGGCGGGGGGGGGTCCAGGCGTTGGCGGAGGAGCCGTCCGCGGACGTCCAAAACCGACGCCTCCGCGTGCCGTTCCGCCCTCCCTCTGGAGGAACAGCACCATGTGATCGATGGCGGGCTGGATGTCCATCCACTCCGCATCCACCATGACACGGACGCCGAGCTCCTGAGCCAGGTCCATGATCCTGATCACCCGACCGACCATGTTCATGTAGAGCTTCAGCTCCTCCTCCGTCAGTGCCGCCCGCTTCATGGGGCCCTCGCTGACACAAGACTGCACGAGCCTTGTAATCTCTGAGAGCTTGACGCTCTCAGACCAATCCAAGTAGGTAATGTACCCACACCCGTCGGCATCGAGCTTGTCGAAGGCGGCCCGGACTTCGTCGTCGCTGCCTGCAGAAAAAAGGCGGCGCCAGCCCTCACTGAACGTGTCCACGTCGAGCTTGAAGGAGCGGTCAATGCAGTGGTAGGGCACGCGAGGGCCCACCTCCTCCGTGCCATCGCTGAGCCTCTTGAACAGGCGGCACATCTCCTCCAGGCAAATCGACATCCGCTCGAACAGCGCCGGGTCGCCCAGTCCCGAGAGCTTGATGGCCGCGAAGCCATCCGGAGAGGCGTCCCGCACAGCGCGTATCGCCTGGGGGAGTTCTGTGCGTGTGCTCTGCCGCGGGGCAGCGCGGAGGGGGCGCGAGACCACCGCTCCCCCTCGCCCTCTGCGGCAACTCGTGCGAGCCTCCCGCGAATCGACGCTGCACCGACGCTATCGCACTGTGAAGACGCTGGGCGCGAGTTCATACGGGCGGGGGGGGGGCGATGCATGGGGGGGCACGGAGGGCCGCAGAGAAGGGCCCTCCGGGGCCCCTGAAGGGGCCCTCTGGGGCCCAAGAGGGTGCCCCCTGGGGCCCGAGAAGGGCACCGGGCAACTTCCCATCCCCAAGTATCCAGCCAAACGCGTTCCACTACTCGCACACGGCGGCCTGGATCCGCCGCGGGGGATTTACGATCCACTACATAGCGACGGACATGTGATTTTTCGGACGTCTGCGAGTAGGCACTTTGCGAGTAGTGGGAACGCGCTCGTTGAAACGGACGTCCATTCCCCGTGCATGTTTTAGCTTTCTGCATGCTTTTTTGTTCGCAAGACGGTCTCGAATGCTGCTCGATGGTCCTCGCCGAGACAAAAATCGCACGTCCGAGCGTTGCCGAGGGAGAGAGGCCGATCGAAGGTGGTGCACCAAGCACATGCCCAGCATCTCTTTGGGCCCGCCGAGGCAGTCTTTTGCACGGTCTCGACGCCGGGGGGGGCGGATGCGAGGAGGCCGAGGAGTAGGGGCGGAGGCGAGGGAGGAGGCGAGGGGAGGAGGACGAGGAGGAGGAGGAGAGGCCAAGGAGGAGGAGGAGGAGGAGGAGGAGGAGGAGGAGGAGGAGGAGGAGGAGGAGAGGCCGAGGAGGAGGGGCGGAGGCGAGGGAGGAGGCGAGGGAAGGGGGGAAAAGGCGACGTGTCGCCTGGAGGAAGATCTCTGCGTTGGCGTCGCAGATCGCCTCCCCCTGGTAGTCGTACGTGCGGGAGGACAGGGGCGCCCCCACAGTGCTCGCCTCGCAGTCGGCGGCGGCGGCCTTGGGCGCGGCATCCTCCTTGGCCTCCGCGGCGTAGTCCAGAATGCCTCCGATGCCGTAGCGCCTCAGGTCCTCCATCTTTGGCACGATCTGCTCGGTCGTCTCGCCGGCGCAGAAGTGGTTGAAGAACGTGAGCCTGAGCACAGCGTGCGTCAACGTCGGGCCAACGATGCGCCGCGCCAGCCCGTACAACGAGTCGCAATTGCGAACCACGAACCCGACCTTGCACGTCATGAAGACTGCCCTGCAGAGGCGAAATCGTGCGCCAACGTCCGAAACCCTCCCTGCCACACAAAACCACTCAAAAGGAAGGGGTGAGGGGAGGGAGCGGGGGCAGTAAGAGTCTGAAGCAAGGAGCGGGGAGAACGAGAAAAACAAAGACAAGGAGGATGACGACGAGCAGGAGAAGGGATCAAGACAATGGGGGGACGGAGGACTACGAGGGCAGACAAGGGAGGCCGAGGAGAGAGGGGGGAATGCACAGGATGAGGGGGAGGGATGAGGAGAACATAACGAACACGAGGACAGTGATGAGGAGAGGGAGGGGGTAACATGAGGAACATGACGAGGATGCACAGACAAGAACAAAGACGAACACGAATGAGAGGGGAAGACATGATGATGAGGAGGGACACATAGTAACGGGAGGAGGAAAAGGAGGAGGAATGAAGATGCATGTATGCATGTATGCACACCTATACACTAGAACCACGCGCGCGCTTCGTGCGTGCTTACGTGATAGCTGCGCCCAAGGAACTCGCATCGCAAGTTGCCAATGAGGAATGCAGGGGCGATACTGGAAATCCTTCGGGGGTGGTAGAGGGACCTGCGGCACTTAACTTTTTGGATCCTGGCGACGTGTCGCGGAGTCCTGGGGCTTATTCGACATGTCTTGCGCATCCTTGGATCCGCCCCGGGGGCTGGAGGAGGAGGAGGAGGAGGAGGAGGAGGAGGAGCTTTGCAACGAAGAACTGTGCCCGAGTCTGGCTCCGAAGTACACGCTACCAAGGCCACGCAACGGAGTATCTAAAGCCGCCCCTCCCCTCCCTGGCCACGCATCTGGGGCCAAGCCGGGTCGCTCCGGCGATGCCTCCAATCCGATGACTGCGGCTTCTCGGGGGGCATTATTGAAAAACTTCTGCGCCCCCTCAGCCGTCCATAGATCGTCTTGAAGCCTCTTGGACGCCGGCTGGAACTGTGGTATTGGGCGACTTTCGCGCCTGTTTTTGGAGCCGTCTTGGCAACAACCTGGGCCCTCTTGGACACCTTGGACCTTGGGGCCGTGTTGGGAGCCTCTCGGGGCCGCGCTGGGGCCACTTTGGGCTCTTGGATATCTTGGGCCGTGCTGTGTTTCTTCGAGTGCCCTCGTGGGACACCCTAAGCCGCTTTGGGGGCCTCCTTTGGGCCATCTTGAATCGCCTGCTGGGCCCTCTTGAATCGTCTTAGGCCCATCTTGGGCCCTGTGAGGCCTCTTCTGGGCTGTCTACGTAGGGGCGAGCTCGGGGGTCTTGTGAGGGCCGCCTTGGGCGCACGGCTCTCGCAGCCCGCTCGATGTCCTTTCTTGGGACCCCTGTTAGGGGCGGTCTTGGGGGCTTCTCGGGTCGTCTTGGGGGCACTGTTGGCCGTCACGGGGACCTGTTAGGCCGTTTTGGCGCACTCTCGGGGCCAAGCCCTTCTCTGGCGATCTTGGAGCCGAGGACGTCGGAAATCCGGAACTTCGAGCCTGCTGAAATACTTCCCTTGTTCGAGGTCCTGCAAGAAGGTTTCCAACAAGGACTCACCAAGCGGAGGTCTGGTGGGATTTGCAGCGCTGCGGGACCTCTCGACGGACGTCCCTGGCCAGCGCGTGTATCGTGCAAAACCGCCCGAGCGCGAGTTGCAATGCACAACTCGGGCTGCTGCTGCCTGGTGATCCTACAATGACACTTTTCGCGGTCCTGCAAGGAGGTTTCCAGCAAGGACTCGCCGATCGGAGGTCAATGTAACCTCATAATGGAAACAACTCTAAGATGAAAGGCGAGAGAATGCACCAGCCGGCAACATACAACAGCAAGCACCATGCACCAGCCAGCAGAATGCACCAGACAGGGAAGGGTGGGAGGAGTGAGGTAACCCGAGGGTTCTAACGTTGGCCTAACATTAAATCGCACCACAGAATTTATCGCTTGGAACCTTGGTGGCCACCAGCTGTCATCTTTGGATCTGTCGTCAATCCAGCTCGAGCCCTAGATCCCAATCCAAAGGATGGTGCGTTTCAAAAGGTGTCCACAGGGCCCGTCTTGGGATCTGGCCAGATCCAGAGCGTGCCCGCTCGAAGATGATGCGTCCCATGTCCAGGCGACGGTACGCCCAAGGCATTCCCAGGTGCGTCCCAGGCGTGCCCGCTGCAGAATTGTGTGTCCGAGAGACAGACCATGTAAACCATGATTGCCAACGTGGCGTCCTGGATCAAGGCAGGAGCATTGTGGAGCTCCCGTGGGGGCCTAGTTGAGATGTTCCCTTGGAGAACTTTGAGCAAGGGGAGCAGACCTGTGCCGCCTTCCTATGGCCGCAAATTAGAAAGGCGATCCAGGTTACAACACACATGAGCTGCAAAACCAAACGGCTCTTAGAAGAGGAGACATTGCAACCCCACGCCACGGCTCACGTGGGCCGCCAGCGCGGCACGCTACATTGGCCACATTTGGGCCGCCTGGGGGGGCCCTGAGTAAGGAGCCCCCCTCCTTGATCGATCTCCTCCAAGATGGCCCCAAGAGGCTCCCAAGAGATCCCCAAGAGGCTCCAAGTGGCCCCCAGGGGCACCCAAGACGCCTCAAGACACCGCCTGACGTGCCATGAGACCTCTAAGACGCCCCAAGAGGACCCCAAGAAGCTCTCGAGCAAAAACCAGAAGAAACTCCGAGAGGCATATAAGATGCCTCTGGCCTTTCTGCTCGCCCTCCTTCTCCTCCTCCTCCTCTTCCCCCCCCCCTCCCCTTCTGCATACCACTCCTGCTCCTCCTGCTCCTCCTGATCCTCCTCCTCCTGCTCCTCCTCCTCCTCCTCCTCCTCCTCCTCCTCCTCCTACTGCTCCTCCACCTCCTCCTCCTCCTCCACCTCCTCCTCCTCCTCCTCCTCCTGATCCTCCTCCTCCTCCTCCTCCTTGAGGCCCTCAAGAGGCCCCAAGCGTCTAGAGCATTTACCATTGACAACGACGACGCGCGAAAGAAGCATAGTCGGGCGGGCGAGCGGGACATGGGATGCAACTGGCACTCGGTGATGGGACGGCGTCGAAGATCGGCAGGAGTTTCTCAGGGCGTCTGAGGGGTAGCTTTGGGGGGCCTTTTGGGGGTCTCTTGGGGGCCTCCTGGGGCTGCCTGGGGGCCTCTTGGGGACTTCGTGGGGCCTCTTGGAGGCTTCTTGGCAGCCGCTGGGGGCTTCTTGTGGGCCTCAAGGGGCGGAGAGCTCGTGATGTCGGTTCGTGTTCCCCCTCTGGGGTCCCTCTTGAGGCGTTCTTGTGTGGGGCCCTCTTGTGCTGCCCAGGAGGCCTCTTGGGCCGTCTGGGGGTCTCTTGGGCCGTCTGGGAGGCCTCTCTGGGGCCTCTGAGGCCGTGTGTTGGAACGATATTTGGGGCCTCTGGGACCGTCTTGGAGCGTCGGGACGCCGAAAAGAAAAGCGCGACAATCCATGAAAACCTGAGGAATATCAACGATTTTTGCCTCGTGCGGCCCTTTTCGGAGTACTCTTGGAAACCCCTTGGGCCGTGTTGGAAGCCTGTTGGGACGTCAGGAGGCCATCTTGGGCGTGTTAGACCAATGCTCTGGCGACTCTGGGCCATCTTGGAGGCCTCTTGGGGCCCTTTTCTTGTGTTTTGGCGCTGTCTTGGGCCATCTGGGGGCGTCTCTGTCGGCCTGGTCCCCCCATCCGCCGTCGAGGGCCGCGTCCTGGACCCCCTCGCCTCGTGCCCACGGTATATATATATATATATATATGTATGTATGTATGTATGTATGTATGTATGTATGTATGTATGTATGTATGTATGTATGTATGTATGTATGTATGTATGTATGTATGTATGTATGTATGTATGTATGTATGTATGTATGTATGTATGTATGTATGTATGTATGTATGTATGTATGTATGTATGTATGTATGTGTGTAGGTAGGTAGGTGGGTATGTATGTATGTATGTATGTATGTGTGTGTGTATGTATGTATGTATGTATGTATGTATGTATGTATGTATGTATGTATGTATGTATGTATGTATGTATGTATATATGTATATATGTATGTAGGTAGGTAGGTATGTATGTATGTATGTGTGTATGTGTGTGTATGTACGTATGTATGTATGTATGTATGTATGTATGTATGCATGCATGCATGCATGTATGTATGTATGTATGTATGTATGTATGTATGTATGTATGTATGTATGTATGTATGTATGTATGTGTGTGTGTATATATATATATATATATGTCGGCGGTGCCCGGTGTGGAGCGACCCCCCCCCGGTAAACTCCATCCTGGGGGGTTTCGAGCTGGCGGCACCGCTGGTGCGAGCTGGCACGGACCCCCCCGCTAAGCACGAACCCCTCCGGTAGCCAGCACGACCCCCCCCGGTAAGCACGAAGACCTCCCCCGCTATGCACGACTGGCTCGACTGGACCCCAAGGGTGTTCCAAGACGCCACACCTCCACAGAGAACCCCCCACCCCACCCGCACCCCCGCCCCACCACCACCCCCCACTCCCACACGGGGGGAGGGGGTCCAGGTCGAAGCCCCCCCAGTGCGGCCTGCACGACCCCCCCCGGTTAAAGGACAGGGGGGGGGGTTCTGGGTTCTGAGCCGTCGGCGGCACCCGGTGCGGCCTGCACGAACCCCCCCGGTAGTACTGGGGGGGGGTCATGCCACGGGGCACCGCCGACATATATGTATATATATATATATATATATATCTATACACAAATACAGAGAGAGAGCGAGAGAGAAAACACATATGTGCACACACACATATATATACACACATACATACATCCGACAAGGTGCCATGAGGCACGAGTTGGAGTGACACCAGGTCCTTGTTCTGATCCCCTACGTCTCAGATCCTGCGGACTCTCTCCGGGGGCCCGAACCAACGCTGCTGAATTCTTTCGGGGCTCGTCGCGTGCCCCCCCCCCCCGGCCCCCGGCGCGTCTTCCCGCATGACTCTTTCGCACCCTACAGGCAACCCGTATCACAAGGACGCACGATAAGGATGCAAGGGTCTTGGACGCCCATTTCGAAGCTCTTCGAGCGGGGCGCGGCCAGCGAGCGCGGCGAAGGATGGACCGAGGAGGCGAGAATGCAAGGGTACCCTTGGGAATGTTGCCCATCCTTACCATGCGGGTTGACTGTAGTGGGCCCCAAGACGGGCTAAGACGGCCCAGAGGGCCCAGAACCGCCGAGCGGTCGGTTCAAGACGCTCAAGATAGCCTGGAGGAAGCTGAAGAGGCGCACACTACGCCAAGAGAGGCCTAACATGAGGCCTCCCAAGACGCAACCATTGTCAGATTTCCTCAGGAGAACGTGCATTTCTAGCATCTACGTTTTTCGGCCTCACGGCGTCCAAGACGGCTCAATAAGCCCCCGAGATCGCCCTAAGACGGCGCAACAAGCTCCCAAGAGGGCCCAAGACGGCCCGAGAGGCTAACTATTAGATCTTGTTTCAACTGCCATGTGAAGTCTCATGGAAATCGGGGTCGTTAGTGAGATTGCGGATCACTGCGCTTTTTCACTTCGATTCGTTACCCCTCACTCTCTCATTCGAATCAGTCGCCCGCGAGGTGTGGCATTTGAGTGACGCCGATTGGAGACCGATGCGACGAGCTAGTCTCGTACAGGAGGAATCCGAGGCGCCGGACAACTTGTGGGGGGCGCTTGGAAGGAATGTCGAACGCGTGCCCCAGAAGCTGGCAAGCTTGGGACGGAAGCTGCCCTTGAGCCTAGGAAGCGCTGCCCAGGAGCGCCCTGGACGGCCCAAGAGAGCCCCAAGACGGCCCCAAATGGGGCCCAAGAGGGGGGGCCCGAACCGACAAGTCGAGCTTTCCGCCCCAGGAGGACCCCTGGGAGGCCCCCCAAGTCGCCCCAAAACGGCCCCCAAGAGGCTTCAAAACTGCCTCCAAGAGGCATTCGAGAGGCCTCCCACGACATCCCAAAGAACATCCACGAGGCCTGTGACCCACAATCCAGGCAAGGTGGCGGGATGGGCAGGAGGCCATGAGATAGACACACACACAGATCTATATGCTCATACGCACATGGAAGGATAGCGCAAACCAGGCGACGACCAAAAAACGCCCGCTCCGCCCGCCCGCCGACCAGGCCCGCGCCAGCTCCAGCGTGGACTTCGACTCGAACGCCAGCCTCGCGTCCTGGAAGTCCGGCAGCGACGCCGCGGACGCGGCCTCTAGGAGAAGAGAGACAAAACAACATGAGCATAACGTGTAGGCGCTCCGCGCGGACTTCTTGCGTCTGCGTTGGACCCCCTTCCTGGCTCGCGGAGCGCGCCAGGGGCCGCGCCGAAGGCGCCGCTGGGGGGCCCGAGCGCGGAGCGAAGAACCCCGCGCGGAGCGCCAAAAGTTTATGCTCGTGGCGTTTACTGTTGTTCTCTCCTTCGAGCCTCGGCGGCGGGCGCGCCGGCGCCCGACGCGGCGCAGCGGCGGTCGCCCGGAGCGGCGCCCCCGAAGCGCGCCAGGGCGGCCGCGGCCCCCGCGGGCGCGTGGGCCACGGCGCGCGGCGCGCACGCCGCGGCGCGCCGCGGCGCCGCGGCGCGGCGCCGCGGGCCGCAGGCCCGGCCGCGCCGTGCGCCGGGAGCGCTGCGCGGCGCAGCGGCCGCCGCACGGCGGGCCTCAGCATGGCCGGCGGGGGGGCCGCGCGGGTGCGCGGGTGCCCGCTCAGGCGCGGCCGGGCTCGGGCCGAGGCGAGGCTGCGTCGTGGGCCGAGGCGGGGGGAGCGGCACGGAGAGGGGGCGGCTCGCTGCCCTGCGGGCCGGCCCGCGGGGGAGGCTGGCGCGTCGCGGGCCGGGCGCGGCGGAGGCGCGCCTCGCTCCAGGCGCTCCCGGCCAAGCCTCCTCGTCGCTGCATCCCGTGCGGATTCCCTCTCTTCCTCTGCAGCCCCTCTCTCCGGCCTCCGCCGGCCCCCCGCCCCGGCATCTGCCCCCGTCCTCGCCCCCCCATCGCCTCTCCTCCTGCCCGCCCCTCACCCCCCCTCTCCCTCCCTTCCCTCGCCTTTCCCTTCCTCTTCCCTCCCCGCCCCAATTTCCTCAACAACCGACTTCCCATTTCCCAAGTCCTTCTCGTGCCCCCCCTTCCCTCCCCATCCCCTCCCCTCCCCTCCGTCGGACCGAGGCGAGGTCTCCGGCGGCTTCTGGATGTCCCCAAACGCCGCTGGAGGTCTCCGGAAAACGCCCAAGAACTTCGATCCTCGAGCCTCCTCCTTCTCCTCCTCCTCCTTTTCCTTCTGCTCGTCCTGCTCCTTCTGTTCCTTCCTTTCCTCCTCCTCCTCCTCCTCCTGCTCCTCCTCCTTCTCCTCCTCCTCCTGCTCCTCCTCCCCCTCCCCCCTTCCCCTGCCATCCCCTGCCCCCCTCGCGTGGGCGCAGGGGCGACGGGGCCGGCCGGGAGGGCGCGAAACGCGGGTCTGGGCAAAGCTCTGACCAGCTCCCCGCGAGGCCCGGGGAGCTCCAGCGCCATCTTGGGCCTCCGCGCGCAGCAATTGGGCTGCCTGCAGCCCGAACTCTTCGGGGAGCCGCGAAGGCGGGTAGGACAGCTGAACGGGCGCGCCTGTGCACAGGACATCCGTTATCGGCTTCCTCGCCTAAGGTACCGATGGTGATTGGAAAATGAAGGGCTTTCACGGTGACCGTGCCACAGGTGGCAATACCACAGACGACCGCGACCGTGCCGTGGGCCAAACCGGTCACAAAACGCCACAAGATCAACCAAAGAGTCCTGAAAGGCTCCAACATCTCCCCAGTAGGTCCTTATGTGCCAACATGATCGCTTTATGATATGTCCGAAGAAGCCCCCAGCGAGGCCCCGAGAGGAGACGACCATTAAACACTAAACTAGTTGCATGCATGGGCCCCAACATGTGAGCCAACGCACTCTGGACATGCAATATGTATGGTGCGAATGCGGTGCAAGCTGTGTGGTGCAACATCTGGTGCGCATCCTGTGTGGTTCAAAGAAAAATGGTGCAATCTATGTGGCGCAGTATCTGTGAGCCACTCAGCAGCTTATCGAAGACGCCTACGGTGAATCACCGCCGCCACCTGCATTTTTGAAAAACCAAACGTTTGGGTCCGGAACTTCGATCAGTTTTCAGACCAGGTGTTTCCCAAGCCGCTGTGGATACCTTTCGGAGAACACTTGGAGGAGGAAGAGGAATTGTAGGACAGGGAGGGAAAAGGCGAAGGGAGGAGGAGGAGCAGACCTCTTGGGGAGACTTTTTTGAAATGCGCCGAAATTTGGGTTAGAGCTTGGCCAAGCTATTGGACCATGTGTTCCCCGAGTCGGTTTGGAAAGCCTTCGGGGAACACGTGGAGGAGGAAGAGGATGATGAGGAGGGGGAGGAAAAATGAAAACGATGACGAGGAGAAGAAGAGGAGGAACATATCTTTTGGGAGCCTCTTGTGCCATTGTTGGAGCCTGCTGGAAGCTTCCTTGCGTCGTTTGGAAGCCTCTTGGGCGCCCCCTTGGGGCTCTTGGGGGCCTTTCTGGAGCTTCTGGGGGGCCTCTTTGGCCGTCTTGGGGCCTTTCTGGCCCGTCTGGCGCCGTCGGAAACCACTTGGGAACCTCTGGATTCTGAGCCGTCTTGGAAACCATCTTGGGCGTCTTGGAAGCCTCTTGAGCCGTCTTGGGGTCCTTTTCGGGCCGTCTTGGGAGCCTCTTGGGCCGTCACGGGGATATCTTGGAAGCCTCTTGGGCGATCTTGGGGCCGTCCTGGGGTCCTCTTGCGCCGTCTTGAGCCGTTGGAAGGCCGAACAGACGCAACCGCCCAACTCCTTCAAAAGCCCAAGGGACATCAATGATTTGGGCCCATTCGGGTCCTCCTGGAAACCTCTTGGAGGTCTCTTGGGCCGTTTTGGAGGCATATTGGGCCGTCGTAGAGGCTTCTTGGGCTGACTTGGAAGCCTTTTGGGCCCGCTTGGGCCGTCTTTTGGAGCCATCTTGGGCCCTCTTTAGCCGTCTTGGAGGCCACCTCAGACCATCTTGGGCGAATTTGGAAGCCCCCTTGGGACTGCCTTGCAGGCTTCTTGGGCCGTCATGAGGTCATCTTGGAAGCCTGTCGAGCCATCTGGGCGCAATTTTTGGGGCATGCCACATTCCTTCAACCACCTGGGGAAAACCAATGGTTTTGGCCTCGTCGGGCCCTCCTGGGCACCTCTTCGATGCCTCGTGGGCCATCTGGGAGGCTTCTTTGGGGCTTCTTGGGTAATCTTGAACGCTTCTTGGGCAGACGTGGAAACATCTTGGGCCCTCTTGGGCCGTCTTGGGGGACCCTGTTAGGCCGTCTTGGACGCGATCTTGGACCATCTTGGGCGAAACTGGGGGCCTCTTGGGACCGTCTTGGAAGCTTCTTGAGCCGTCATGACGTCATCTTGGAGGCCTTTCTGACAATCTTGGTGCGATCTCGGGGGCCTCTTGGGCCGTCTTGGGCTGTCGGAAGGCCAAAACGAAACAATTGCCAACAACTTTCAAACACCGACTGAACACCACTGATTTTAGCTACTTCGGGCCCTCATGGAGGACGTCTTGGGGCGTCTTGGGGGCCTCTTGGGCCGTCTTGGGCCAACTGGGGGGCTTCTTGGGCGGACTCGGAGGCATCTTGGAGCTATCTTGGGCCGTCTTGGTGGCTTCTTCGGCGAACTTGGAGGCAACTTGGACCATCTTGGGCCATCTTGGGCCCATGTGACCATCTTAGAAACCGTCTTGAGCCGCCTTGAAGGTTTATTTGCAGACGCTGTGCTCGTTTTGGGGTCCTTCTGGGTGGTCAGCGGGACGCCCCGAAGCCCCAGGGGGAATTCTCATGGAAACGAACCAAAACGAAATCGTAAGAAATCTAACACGCCGAACACCTCTGTGACAAATCAACAAAAGGGCGGCGGATGACGGAAAGCGCGCGTAGCGTCGCGATCCGTTAACCTGGAAAAATGCCAATAAAGGGTGTGCGGGAAATTAGCAAGAATAGACTCAGAAGACGGAAAACGCGCGTAGCGTCGCGATCCGTTAGCCAGGAGAAATAACAAGGGGGGGTAGGCAGGACCAGCGGTAAATCTAATGGCCCCAATTTTTGACCATTTTCGGTCTACGACGGCCCACGTCAGCCTCAAGATCGCCCAAAAGACCCCCAAGACGGCCCACCAAGAGAGCCCGAGGAAGCCAACACCGTTGATTCCCCTGATGCTTTCGCAAAATTTTGAAATTCGCCGGCCCAACGGGCCAGAGGCGTGCTAAGATCTCCGGTAACTAGTTAACAATTTTCTAGTTCGCGCGCGCGGGGCGGCCCCTGGGGGTCCCCGGACGAAAAGTACCCCGACCAGGTCCCGGCCGGTCCCCGGCCGGGGCCGGGTCCCGGCCGGGTCCCGGCCGGGTCCCGGCCGGGTCCCCCCGAGCGCTCCATGAGCGCACCAACAGGGCTCCGAGACGTCCCCGAGAGCCCCAAGAAAGGCCAAGAGGCCCCCAAGAGGCCCCCAAGATGGTACACGAGGGGTCCGACATGCCACAAGATCGCTCCAAGACGCCCAAGATAGCCCCCAGACGCCCCAAGAGGCCTCCAAGAGCACTCCCAATAGGGCCCCCGGAGGCAAAAATCATTGTTTTTCCATAGGTTTTTGAGAGATTTTGGAGCTTCCACCTTTTCGGCTTCCCGACGCCCCAAGACGGCCCAAGAGGCCCCCAAGATCGCCCCAAGAGGGCCCAAGAGGCACCCAAGAGGGCCCCAAGATGGCCCAAGAGGGCTCGAAGACGGCCCAAGAAGCCTCCAAAACGGTCCAAGAGGGCCCCAAGAACGCCCCCAAAGGGGCCCCAGAGAGGGAACACGAAACAACATTTCGAGCCCTCGGCCCTAAGAAGCCCCTACGAGGCCCCTAAGAGGCCCCAAGAGGCCCCCACGGGGCCCTCAGGAGGCCCCCAAGAGTCCCCCAAGCGGCCCCAGGAGGCCCCCCAAATGCCCCCCCGAGCGCCCCAGGAGTCCCCCAAGCGGCCCCAGGAACCCCCAAAGCGCCGCATTGACACCAGGCCCTCGGGCAAACGGCAGACATGAGACTGTATGGGCCGGCGGAATGAGCGAAGCGATTAAATTCACACCTGTTCCCTGCCTAGGCTCTGCCTAGAAGGGTTCTTACTCTCTGGGCTTAAAGGGGCCGGGCAGTGGAAAACGCCCCGGGCGGTTCCCCCGGTATCCGCCCCGCGGTTCCCCCATTTACGTCCCCTTAGCTTAGCGTTGCTTATCTCATCTTAGCTTAGCTTACTTCATCTTAGCTTACCTTAGCTTAGCGTCATCTTAGCTCAGGTTTATCTTAGCTTAGCTTACCTTCATCTTAGCTTCGCTGAGCTTTAGCATAGCAGAGCACAGCATAGCACAGCATAGCGCAACATATCATATCATAACATAGCCCATCATAGCATAGCATAGCGCAGCATAGCATATCATATAATAGCATTAGCATTAGCATTAGCATAGCATAGCGCAGCACAGCATAGCACAGAGCAGAATAGCAGAGCATAGCAGCAAAGCAAAGGCAAAGCAACAGCAGCGACAACAAAGCAAAGCACAAGCAACGCAAAGCAAAGCAAAGCAAAGCAAAAGCAAAAGCAAAGGAAAGGCAAAGCAAAAACAATGTGCGACAGATGCCGAGCTAGCCTCGATGGCCGGACCGGAGCCCCCGCAAGCAGTGCCTTCCGTAACCATTTCGGCTCAAGTCCGGAGGACCTGCCACACAGCCGCCCACGCTCATGTCCCGAGGTTGGCGGAGTGAGGCGTTCAGCGGTGCTGCACAGCCCGCCTCGGCACCAGGTGGTGCCGAGGCGGGCTGTGCAGCACCGCGAGGTGGCTTAGCTCATCTTAGCTTCGCTGAGCATTAGCATAGCATAGCAGAGCAGAGCACAGCATAGCTTAGCGCAGCATAGCATAGCATAGCATAGCACAGCTTAGCACAATGCAGCATGACATAACTTAGCTTAGCTTATCATAGCATAGCATAGCGCAGCATAGCATAGCATAGCATAGCATAGCGCAGCATAGCATGGCATGGCATAGCATAACAACTAATGCTGCTTTCCTAGGGGCTCCAACTTATAGGTAGGGTCGCACTGGGGTAATTTGGATTTCCGACCGCTCAAGACGACGATTGTCGCCCATCCCAACTCATCGCTTGCGATCGCGATTGTGAACAAATTCGCAATTCGAACCGTCAAAATTCATTTCAAATTTGCAATGTAAGCCGTAACGTACGAGATTGGCCCTCGCATGAAGTTCCGACATTGCTTCACAACGGCGCCCACGCATTCCAACTTAGCTCTCATTCTAAGAGGGAGGAGGCCGGCGGCAGAGGGGGAGCCCCTACGGAGAATGCTCCTTGTGCTAGACGCAGTCGGGGCAACAGTCGTAGCGATGATCGGGATTGTATTGCCTGCTAAAACGTACATACACACTCGCTCACAACTTGCCCGCAAGGGTTCCTTCAAACTTTCCGAAGGGCCAAGAAGTGGGCTGCTGGTCCACTGTGGAAAACTGTTTCGAACATTCTGACGCAAAGAACACCATTATGTGATACAATGTACTTGCATGGTATGGTATACCATGCGATGCTAAGACAACGTCATGCCCCGCTACGCTATGATGCGCAACGCGTTGTAATGCTGTGCGCTGGTGTACCGTGACACGCAACGCAACACTACCAAATGCAATACAATGTTGTGTTACGGTTTGCAACGCTTCGCGACGCAATACAACATTACGCTTATTCCCAAAACAATGTTTGCACTTGGGGGCTCTTACTTCTGTTCTACGGAACTGGGCCGTGTCTTCGGTCTGGCGGTTGTGTGGCCACCGTCGTCACCCCGTTGCCGCCGGTCCTCTGGGCCGGGTCTTCGGTCTGGCGGCTATGTGGCCGCCATCGCCGCCCAGTCGCCGCCCGTCGTCTGGACCGTGTCTTCGGTCTAGCGGCTATGTTGCCGCCGTCGCCGCCCCACATAGATTGCACAACATAGGTATGTATCACCACATACATTTCACCACATATATTGCGCACCACATAGATTGCACAGTATCTATTGCACCACATCGACTACATCACATCGATTGCACCACACACATTGCAACACATATTGCACAACAGAATTGCATACCATATATTGCACAACATAAGTTGCACCACATAGGTTGATACACAGAACTTGTACACAAGATGTTGCACCTCATCGATCGCACCGCATGTATTGCACAACATCGATTGCACAACCTAGGTTACACCAATGTATTTCACCACAACGATTGTATCACATACTTTGCGCTACACGTATTGACCATATATTGCAGAACGTATATTGCACAACATAGACTGCATACTATGCATTGTTCCACATTAGTTGTTTCACATCTGTTGCACTACAGCGATCGCACCTCATAGAGTGCACAACATTAGTTGCACAGCGTGCAAAACATACTTTGCACCACATCGAATGCACCACTTTCATATATTGCGCAACACGTATTGTACCTCACAGGTCGCACCACTCTCAATGCGCAAAGGTTGCACAGCATATATTGCAGAGCATAGATGGCACAATACATATGTATATATATAGATACACGTGAATATATATATATATACATGTATATATCTATGTATAGTGGTCCACGTGTATTGCTCCGCATTAGACTGCACAACATAGATGGCTAGACACACACTGTTTGAGGTCCACGCTGGCTAATACATGGAACGCAATGCTATCTTAGGCCATGCCTTGCCGTGCTATGCAATGCTGTGCAACGCGCTGCGAAGCACTACGAGGATGCACCATGCGATGGCATACGACGCAACGCAGCACTATGCTATGCCATATGCCCGCTGCATCTCCATGTCTTCTTCGGTGGTGGACGAACCTCCCTTTAGTGAACCACCCTTTAGCGAAAACGGCCTGGGACCAAAATCGACGGGCCTGGACCCGCGAAAATGACGGCCACGACGCCCTCTCGCGAACCGAAAACGGCCACTTCACGAATCGACGCGTCAGGGCAGGAGGTCTGTCAACCTCCGACTCCTATCAGAGCCCGGCCTTGCTTGGGGCCTCGCCGAGACTATTTTTTTTTTTTGGGGGGGGGGGGGGCAGCAGCGCCAACCGCCGTGCCGGCGGTGCGCGGCCGCGGCCGTAGTGGCCTCCGCTTACACCCTACGCGGCGTGCGGCCGCATGTTGACGGTCCGCGTGTCCTCCCGCCGGTAGACGAGGAAGCAGACGTGGTGCCCCTCGCACCGTGGCTGAACCCTAACGGTGTTTTCCGTTTTCGTTTTGTTTTTGTTTTTCCCTCGTTTGGTCTTCAATCCAACTCTACTGCAAAACGAAGTCGAAACGAAAACGGCCCACGAAATCGCCAAAACACCGTTTAGATCCAGCCCTGCCTCGCACTGCAGCAGCGCCCCCAGCTCCTCCGCGGGGCGCAGGCGCACTGCCGCGTCGTCGAACGCGTACCAGTCGCCCGCGCCTCCGGCGGTCGCGGCCCCGAGGGCGCCGCCCAGCGCCGCGCCCCTCGGGGGCGCGCCGCTGCGCGCGAGGGCCTTGTACGTGCCGCCCTCGGGCGCCTCGCCGTAGTGGCAAGCGGCGCTCCGCAGCTCGTAGGTCACCGTGCGCGAGGTGCAGTGCGCCGCCTCCTCCAGCTGCAGCCACGTGTCCATGGTGCAGTGCCTGCTGATCTTTGTGGGCACCCCGTCGACCATCTTGAAGCGCTGCAGGTGCAGCAGCAGGAAGGGCGGAAGCCGGATGAAGTGCGAGCCCGGTGGCCGTAGCAGCTGCTGCAGCGCCTCGCTCACGGAGAGGCACGGCGCGCTAGCCAGGTCGAGGTGCAGCACCAGCAAGGGTACGGTGTCCGCGGCCCCGGCGCTGGCGTCCGCGGCGGTCCGCTGCGGCGCCTTCGGCCGCCTCAGGAGGCACTCGAAGATGCGGCTCACGGGCGAGTCCTCGTGGTGCCCCGTGATCGGCGACAGGGTGGGCCACTTGCACTCGTCGTGCAGCTGGCCCAGCACAAAGTGCACGAAGTGCAGGAAGGTCTCCACGAGCCCGGGCGCTGGGGGAGTCGGCGCAGACGTGTTCTTGCCCCGCTCGAACCTTCGCAGCAGCGGCTCGGCAAACGCAGCTGCGTCAACGGGCGGCTGCACACCCTGCGGGCCCGATGGATCTGCCGCGGACAAGCGCCAACCGCCCCCCTGCGGGCTGGGAGGGCCGTCGGCACTGGCGGCCATCCCAATGTTGCGCTCCTCCGCGCCGACGCGGTGCCCTGTGCCGAAGAACTTGCCGGCGATCTGCACCAAGCAGGCGTAGGCCGGCCGCTGCTTCGCCAGCGAGCTCCACGACAGCTGGGCCAGGAGGTGCATGAGCGGGGAGCAGGGCAACAACACCTGCAGAAATGCGTTGAGGTAGGGAGCCGCCCGGTTCATCACCAGGCCACGCTTCATGTAGCCGGAGAACTCGGTGCTCAGGTCCAGGCACAGGCAGGAGGGCTCCTTGGTGCCCCTGCTGAGGGGCAGCCTCTGCGCATTTTGCAAGAGATTGTCCAACAAGTCTGGCATGCCTGCGTCCGCGCCGCCGGGGACCTCGTCGCCGCTCGACCACTCGCTCTCCTCTTCGTTGTCCTCGCCCCGCGCCTCCCGTAAGGACATCAGCCGCCGCATGAGCCCCGAGTGCGCCGTGGCCGTGCCGACGAAGAAGGCGGAGCCGAGGAGGCCGCGGTCAGCCGATGGGGAAGAGTATCCCGACTGCGAACGCCGCTGATTGGGCGAGGCCACCCCAGAGGGCATGGCGGTGATTGGGGAGCAGTAGCCGCTGAACGAGGCGGGGGATCTGGCCGGAGAGCAGTGGCTCACCGGCGTGTGGATGGCAGGAGTGTGGATGTTGGGCGTGCGCGAGATGCAGAACGGGGAGGTGTGCCACAAGTAACCCATGCTCTGGACGCCTCCGCCCACGGCCCCGGGCCGCCGGTCCAAGCGAGGAGGGCGGACAACCAGCCTCTCGCTCTCGTCCCGGGCCCGGGAGCGCAAAGGCTGGTCCGCGTGGGGCTCGTCAGCGTACCGGTGCAGGGGCGAGGAACTCGGGGCGTGGCGGGCTTCTGCAGGCAGCTCGAGTGGGGGCTGGGACGCCGCGGACGGCACGGGCGCGGCGCTGCCCAGGGGAAGCAGCAGCGCCGAGATCTGGGACCGTGCCGTCTCCAGCGCATCTCCCTCCGGCGGCCAGCTCTTCCCGCCGCTATCGGGCTGCGGCCGGGCCGCGTGTCCGCCAGGTGTGTGGGTCAACGACCTCGGCGTGCTCGGCTGCGTCGCCTCGCCAGCAGCAGCCTGCGCCAGCAGCAACCTTGCGGCCTGCGCCGCGTCGCGGCCGCCCGGCTCGTCGAAGAAGGAATCGCAGGAGGATGATCGGCTGAGCGCCACGCTGCGTGCGACTGGCGTGGCCTTCTGCGACTGCACGGGCCCGCGGTGGAGGAAGAGCGGGAGCAGCTGCCTCTCGACGCCCTCCACCTCCTCGGTCATGCTCAGGGCCCTGGCCTGCTCCAGCAGCCCGCAGAGCTGCTCGGTGGACTGGTGCAGCAGCCTCCGCACCAGGCCGCTGGCGGTGTCCTCGGCCGCGGCGGGCCCGTGCGCCTGGCCCTCGCCCGGCGACGCGGCCGACTGGCGCTCGCCGCCCGGAGGGCGGGCTCGGATGTACGGCGGGCACGCCCGCTCCGCCTCGCCGTGCGCGAAGGCGCACAGGTGCCGCAGCGCGCACCGCTCCCGGCTCTCGCTGCGCAGGGGGCAAGGCTCAGGGCGCGCCAGCTGCGCGCCGCGTGGGTGCGCGAAGGGACACCTGGCGCCCTCCAGGCACAGGCCCGCCGCGGCGAAGTCTGGGCACGGGGTGGCCGTGGGCTGCGGCGCGACGGCGTCTGCGCCGCCGATCTCCTCCGTGCTCGCCGACAGATTGAACGAGGGCCGGTGGTGGCTTGCGCCACTTGCGCCGTCAATGGTGGAGCCCTGGTGCGACTGTGCCTCCTCGGCCTCGGCCTCGTCATCGTCGTCCTCGGCCGACTCCACTGCGCTCGCCAGCTCCGCGGGCTCCTCCAGCTCCGTGCTGCTGGGCCGCCGCCCGCTCCGGCACTCGTGTGCGGGGCGTTCGGCTGCTGGGCTGCCGCCGCAGTCCTCCGCGCCAGCGCAGTCTGCGGCCTGCGCCTCCCTGGCCGCCTGGGCCTTCCGCCGGCTCCGCCTGGACTTCACCCCCTCGCTGGGGCTCTCCTCGAGCTCCACCGTGGTGGCGGGCAGCGTGTCGCAGCCGGGGGGCGGGCCAACCTCGAAGACCTCCACCTCACCGACTGGGACGCCCATCGAGTGGAGCATCGCCGTGAGCGAGGTGGCCTCGCGGTTCGCCAGATGCCCAAACTCAGCGCTGCCCCGCGCGCCGACCCCTGGGGCGTGCGCGCGCCACAGGGCGCGGGCGCCGCCGCAGGCGGTGCCCGCGGTGAGCAGCAGCTCTCGCGGCCTGTGGCGCGCGAAGCGGCCACGGCACAGGCATCGCTTGCCGCCCTCCTTCGGCGTGCTGAACAGCGTGCAGAGCTCCACGGCCACGGCCGAAGCCGCCGCCATGTTCCTGTGGGGCAGTATGCGGAAGATCATGACGCTCCCTGCCCGCGCTGGGCCAGGGCCGCTGGCGGCCGCAGGCAAGAGCTCCAGGCTCACCTCCTTGCTGACCTCCTCGCAGAAGAGGCGGTGGAAGGCGCTCCATGCGTCCAGGTCCGCCGAAGACCTCGAGCGGGCATCCAGCGAGACGCAGCCGTGGATCGTGACCGGGGGCGGCTGATGCACAAGCTGGGCCAGCACGGCGCCGCACTGCTCCGGCCCCCGGGCCTGGGAGGCGCCCCTCCGGCCACACGGCGCGGTCTCGAACGTGAGAGCGCAGCCGGAGACCACCTGCTGCTCGCACAAGGGGGCGTCCATGCGCACCGGCGCGGCGCCCTCTGCCAGCGCGCCGCTGCAGCAGGCGAGCGGGGCATCGTGCTGCGGGCTCCGAGTTAGCAGGGCCAGGCGCCTGCGGATCCACTCGGCGTGCTGCAGCAGCGAGTCAGCTTGGGGGACCAGGGCCACGCCGAGGACGAGGCAGCGGAGAGTCAGCTTGTCGAAGAACTGGCACAGCATCGGCTCGGCAAGCTCGCCAGGCTCCCCCCGCTCGGCCTCCGCGCCTGGCACGAACATGAGCAGGACGGTCGCCGTGCCAGTGCCCGCCGCCAGCTGCGAGCAGAAAGCGTCGTCGACCCGGAATCCGCCACCGTGCCACCTGGCACGTCGGGGCGTGAACCTGATAGGGGCAAGAGCGAGAAGCGCCGATTTTGTCCAGTGGGCTCGTAGGGAGGAGAGATGAAAAGGAAGATGGCCACAAGGCCGCGGATGACGAGGATGATAGCGTGGATGACGGGGAGGGCAGCGAGGGGAGCAGGGACACAACGAGTAGGAAAACAAGCTGAAGGACGAGGAGGAGCAAATCTTGGAGGACGAGCGCGAGAAATAAACCAGAATGCCCAGCGCTGTCTGGTAGGGTTTCTGCAACGCGTGTGGCTGCCCCCTGGGGGTCCCCGGACGAAGAATGCCCGCCGGAACTCCTGGGCGGTCCCCGTCACGGATGCCAGAGCTCCTTGGAGCTGCCTTCAGGGCCTTCAAGTGAGCGTCTCAAGAGGCCCCAAAGACGGTCTAAGAGGGTCCAGAGTCACCGGGAATCGTTCCGAGATGCCCAAGATAGCCTCCAGACGGCTCCAACCGCCTCCAAGACGCCCGAAGATGGCTCCAAGACCACTCCCAATAAGCCCCCTAGAGGCAAACATCAACGATTTCCCGTTGGTCTTTAAAAGGTTTTCAGCGCTCTCATCTTTTCGGCCGCCGACGCTCTATGACGGCCCGCCCAAGAAGCCCCTAAGATCGCTCCAAGACGGCACATTAGCCTCCAAGAGAGCCCCCAAACGGCCCACGAGGACTCCCAAACAGCTAAAGTTCCTCCTCAGACGGCGCTGGAGAGTTCCAAGACACCTTCAGGAAGACCCCTCGAGGGGGAGCCCCAACAGACATTTCAATCGTTCGGCCTCAAAATCGCCCCCACCCCCCAGGCCTCCGAAGAGCTCTCAATATGCCTTCGGCCTCCAAATCGCCCCCAGAGCCTCCGCCCCAGGCCTCCGATGAGCTCCCAATAATTAGGCCCCACGAGGCTCGTGAGCGGCCCGAAGTAACCCCCGAAGAGGGTCCAAGAGGCCCCCAAGAGGCGCCAAGAGAGGCCCAAGAGGCATCCAAGGCGCCCCCCAGGAGGCCTTCCCAAACTCCCATAACTGCTACACAAAAGCTCCCCGAGAACCCTCCGAAGAGACCACAAAGCATACATGAGGACCCGCACCCACAACCGAAACAGCACCGGCCAGCAGCGCGGCATGGCCCACGAACACGCACGCAAACACCATCGATGGCACACTACGGGCCGGCGGAATGAGGGAAGCGATCCGCCGCCCCTCCAGGCAGTTACGGCGTGTGAGATCCACAGAATGGTCTTCCAGGTGTTCTTCAAGTCATCTCACCAGCGCGCTTTTCATACCCACTCCTGCCTCTGAGCCCTCCAAGCCCCTCCTATAAGTTCTTCTCTGGAACCCGCTCCTTCCGCCGGCCCGAGGGCCCGGGCGGCGCCCCGGGGCGCTTTTTCTGGCCACCGTTTCCGTCCCCAAAGCGACCCCCCCGTTTGACGTGGTAGGCTTCCGGGCGCTGGGCTCTTCTCGGCTGCTCTGCATCGTCCTCCGGGCCACCTTCGGCAGTTCCGGAATCCTTTCCACCTCTTTTCAGGTCTCGTACGCCGTACGCCCACACATCCCAACGAGCAGAACGCCATGGGAGAAAACATGGGATTTCAACTGGCCATCTCGGGCCTCTCCCTCCGCCCCTCTTAGAGCTCCCGTGCATCTCTGCGGGCTCTTGCGGACATCTTCGAACACGCGGATGCTCTCCGAGTCCGAGCCCCCAAGGAAAGAATCGAACAGGGCAGGGCTGTTTAGTAAACGCCAGGGCCGTTTAGTAAACGCCAACTGTCGAGGGCTGCTTGGATTTCTTCCTCTCTTGAAACAAAAGCCAATGCAAGCTACACATTGCGGCAACATCGGGATCATGTCTGGGCGCCCCGCGATCACTTCACACTGTTCCCTGCCATCCTCTGGTGTCGGGTCCTCTTTTCGAATCAGCAACGGTCCGCGTGCTCGCCTCACCTATTCCTACCCATCGCCATCAACATCCCCACTGTGATACACGGTATCATCGTCATCATCATCATCATCATCATCATCATCATCATCATCATCATCATCATCATCATCAACATCATCATCATCACCATCATCACTGTCACTTTGATCACCATCATCAATTCCAACATCATTATCAACATCAACATCATCATCAACATCACCATCATCAACGACAACAACAAAAATGACACCCGGAATGGAGTCCCGTCCACCTCTGGTGCTATGGGGCGCAATCCAGGTGTTGTCTTCCGGACTGGGACCCCCTGCCCGCCTACCCCACCACGCGCACGGCAACGCCACGCAACGCCCTAATCCACCAACAAGAAAAAGGAAAGGTATCCTTGCGGGAACTCACGAGGTTCCTGAAGGAAATCGATATGGGAGATTCGAAAACCTACTGGGGAACCGTCGGAAATATCCTCAATAAAGATTCCTTCTCGGCGAATCCTTGATACGAGTTCCCCAATAAAGATTCCCTCTAACAAATTCCCTACCACAGGGCCCCTTAGTACCGTAATAAAGCTTCTTTCGAACGGATATCGTACGAAGGATCCGTTACTAAGCATTCAGTACTAAAGATTCCTGACCAAGGCCTCCCACGGGTGATTCCTTAAAAAGGATTCCTTATTCAGGGTTTCTTAAGCATGGCTCCTTGCTGGGGTTCATTACTGACGATCCCTCAATCATGACCCCTGGCGAAGGATTCCTTACAATAAAGATTCCTTAACAAGGATCCCTGCCTAAGGACTCCGCGGTACTGATTCCCTGATGCGGGTTCCTGGCTGAGAAATTATCCCGAATCAAACATGTGAGCCGCTGCTTCCTGAATAAGGACTCCCTACGAAGAATTCCTGACGAACGATTCCCCGACTAGAGCTCCCTTACCGAAGATCTCATACCAAAGACTAGAGCTCCCTTCCCCTTACTGACAGGTCTTTACTAGGGAGTCCTTAGCAAATAACCTTTCTCTTAAGGTTCCCCAACAACAAATACTCATTCCGTGGTTCCATACTAGCGATTCCTGAATTCGGAGTGTTGGGATTCACCGCTAAGGATTTCTGGGTAAGAACTCCTGACTAAGGAACCCTTCGTCAGGATGCCCTGGTAAGGATTCATGTTTGCAAAATCCTTCATGAGGATCCCCTAACAAATATTTAGCATGTGGGATTCCTTACAAATGATTGTACGGGTTACTTGGTAAAAGGTTCCTTAAGAAGGAACCCTTTTTAAATCCGCCGGCCCCCTTGTGGGGCCACCAGGCTGTAGGCACGGGTTCGCAGTTTCCAGTACCAGTTGTAGCTTGTAGTTTCCAGTGTTACAGTTCTGCTTCTTGCTGGTTACTGTAACTAGTTGATTGACCGCGCGAGGGGGGGGGAGGCCCAAACAGATTTTTTAGCGTCCCCTGGGCGCGTTGTCTGAATTGCTGGGGGGGCTCGAAATCGACACCCCTCACGCAGATCCGCGGGGTCAGGGTCCAAAAACACAGGGGATTTGCCACATTTCTGAAATTCGGTGCCACCCCTCACGCAGATCCGCGGGGTCAGGGTCCAAAAACACAGGGGATTTGCCACATTTCTGAAATTCGGTGCCACCCCTCACGGACATCCATCGCAAGGCGTGGTAACCCAAACTGCGAGTACTCCCTCGGCCCTTTAATCCCAAGGTGTGGTAACCAAGCTCGTAAACCATACACGTCTTACCAATCGCCCTGTGTGGTAACCCCTCTTGTGATCAGTTGGTTTTGCCGATTGCGAATCGGCCTCGCATGAAGTTCCGATACTGCTGCGCGACAGCGCCAAAGCCTCATGACTTAGCTCTTCCATGGCCCATTCTCCGAGAGAGGGGGCCGGCGGCAGGGGGCGAAGCCCTCACGGATATAATAATTCGTTACGAAAGACTCCGTACCGTGGATTCCGTAGCACGGATTCCTCACAACGGACTTCTCACCAATGAGTCATTCATCAAGCGTCCCTTATCAGGGTTTCCTACTGAAGCTTCCTTACCTACACTTCCTTACTACAAATTCCTGGCTAAAGAATCCCTCCGGACTAAAGAAAGAACCCCGGGGCTCAGGATTCCGTGAGAAGTCGGGACCTGCAAAGCTCCTATGGAACCCCATAGGATCCTTGTAGGGTCCCTATCGGGGATCCATAGAGCCCCTGTAGAAACCTAAAAGGGCCGCATCGGATCCGTAGAGAACCCTATGGGTGTCCTATGGGACCCCGTGTTGCGTTGCGTTGCGCTTGGGGGCGGGGGTAAGTGACGGGGCCCCAGTCCGGGTGTTATCCAACTGCAACAGTAATAACATCAAACATGTTCAGACTGTTCGCTTGTATCTGCTCGCGTGCCATCTAACACGTATATCCCAAACCCTCGAAACCTGCACTCACCGTTTTCGGCCGTATCCCATTGGGCTATATCTTCCTGACCTGCCACGTGTAATTGGTGCGACCCCCGTAAAAAAGGGAGGGGCGGGTGAAGGGGGACGAAAAGGATGGAGCGAGAGAACGTAGCAGGATGGAAACTAAGAGTAGAAAACACGTGAAATAACCAAACGGGCTAATCGGGCGGCCAGGTCGAGCAAGCGGATTGCTGAAGCGTGAATCCTGCATACATCGCGAGGACGTCTCGAGCGATAACACAATTCCGACATGAATCTTGGAGAAAGCTAGAGTGAGAGCGTCCCAATTTCTGCATACATTGTGAGGAAGTCCCGCGCGAAAACGCGAATTGGAAATAAGTTGCGAGGGAATATGAAGCGGGATCCGTTCTTCTTGTAGTTCAGGAACCAATACCCCAATCTGAAGAGGAATACTTTTCCGTGAAACAAACAATGTGCGAACGCCGGGAGGAACACGTGATGGAGAAACATGAGCCTGGCGCGACCCCAATAGGGGAAAGCTTCCTATTGACTGGGCGCAGTGCTCGGCTTTGCTTGGCTTTGCTTGCCATTGCTTGGCATTGCTTGGGGATCCCGGGGAATCCGAAGAACCTGGGGAACCTGGGGAACCAGAGGAACCTGGAGGAACCCGAGGAACCCGAGGAACACGAGGAACCAGAGGAACCCGGGGAACCTGGGGAGCCTCCGAGGAACGGGCATCGTAAGAATCGGAGGCACCGAGGACGAGGAACCCACCACCACCACCATCAACAGCATCATCATCATCATCATCATCATCAGCATCATCAGCATAATCATCATCATCACCATCACCATCACCATCACCATCACCATCATCATCATCATCATCATCATCATCATCATCATCATCATCATCATCACCATCACCATCACCATCACCATCATCAGCATCATCATAATCACCAAAGCAAGCATCATCATCAACATCATCATCATCACCATAATCACCATCGCCACCAACATCGTCATCAGCATCAGCATCAGCATCGGCATCGGCATCAGCATCAGCATCACCAACACCATCACAATCACAATCACCATCACCATCACCACCATCAACATCATCACGAGAATCAACACCATCCACATCATCATAATCACCACCACCAACAACATCAGCAACAACATCATCACCGCCATAACCGCCACCATCATCACTATCACCACCACCATCGCCATCACCATCATCACCATTCTCATCACCAGCATCATCTTCACCACCGCCAGCATCATCATCGTCATCAACATTACCATCAACAGCATCATCATCACCAGCAGCATCGACAACAACAACAACAACAACAACAACAACAACAACAACAACAACAACAACAACAACAACAACAACATCAACATCAACAGCATCCGCATCGGCATCAGCATTAGCGTTACCTCACACGCTTCGTGACCCCACAAGGAGCTTCACTGAATGCCCCAATGACAGCGCCCGCATGCGGTACACGCCCATTTCGGCACACCCCTTAGGAGGATCGTGGCCCAGCAAGGAGGTCCACCGAAGGCCCCAGTGGCAGCGCCCGCATGCGGTACGCGCCCCGTGTCGGCACACCCCTCAAGAGAATCGTGGCCGTATAGGGAACCCCACCGAATGCCCCACTGGCAACACCCGCATGCGGTACGCGCCCAATTTCGGCAAACCCGTCACGAGGATCGTGGCCCCATATGGAGCTATACCAGAGATGGTACCCAGAATGCGGTACTCACAACTGCATACGGTTAGTTCCTTCGCCGGGTTTATTTTTGGCAAGGACGACGGCGGTGTCATCATACTGCCCCGCGTGTGCAGGACCACCACCTCTGTCACAAACACATGCAAAATGCACTTGGCTGCAACATCTTCGACATTGCGCTGGCGTCCCGCAATCATTTGGCATAACTCTTTGACACGGATGATGGTGCCCTGGCACGCACCTTGCTAGCGTCTGCATTGGCTCCCGATGGTTGCCGATGGCGGCCCGTGTCTATGCTGAGACTCGGGAGCCACCTATGTGGTGGAAACACGCGTGGGAATGAGCGAGACGACCGTCCTTCGGGCCTTCGGGGGGGGGGCTTTACCCCTCCCCCTACTCCCTCCCTCTGGGTATGGACGGGGCGTTTCGCGGAGCGTTGGGGCGTCCACGCTGGCTCCAAGAGGGATCCGATCGGCCTCAATACCGATCCAAGACGACTCCACATGGCCTCGGCGTCTCCCAAGGAGGCCCCCAAGACCCCAGGAGGCCATCATCATTCCATAACCTAAGGGACATCAATGTGCGTTGCCTTGTCCCGATGGACATTGGAAGCCTCAAGATGGCTACAACCTGGCTCTAGAAGGCCAAAGAGAAGCCCAAGGGAACTTCAAGAAGGCCACGACAGCCAAAAGCGCCCCAAGAGAGCTGCAAGAGGCGATTCCGGGGGCTCCTGGGGGGCCCTACTCACTCTGATCGGTCTTCGCGAATATGGTCCCAAGAGGAAACGAATGTTTCCACGATGGTCCCAAGAGTCCCCAAAGATACCCCAAAACTTCCCCAAACAAGATAATCTAATCCGCACCGCTTCCGTGTTCGAGCGATACCCTCCAAGATGGCTCCAAGAGGGCCCCCGAGGCTCCCAAGAGAGCCTCACGAGACAACCAAGGTGGCTCAAGAGGGCTTCCAACTTGCCTCCACGGATCCCTCAAACGACGCCGCCGATCTCCTACACGTTCCTGATCAAGGCAATTTGCCTGGGCATTCTTTCTGGATGGGCTGGTGGGGATACTTTTTTGTTACCAGCCGCAGGCGAGAGCGCCAACGGCGTGTCAAGGTCCGAGCGGGAGCGCGACTGGTGGGGATACGCGAAATATCAAGAATTGCCTCAAGACGGTCTAAGAGGCCCCCGAGACGGCTCCGAGAGGGCCCCCTGCGGAGCCGAGCCCGAAGAAATCAGATTCACTGATATCCCTATAGGATTTTGACTAATTTTCGCGTGGACACCTTTATTGGCTTCCGTCAGCCCAGGACTGCCCAAGAGGCCTCCAAGATGGCCCCAAGACAGCCCAGTGATGCCCAAAGACGACCCAAGAGACCTCAAGACGCCCCCAGACGGCCTCGAAACAAATCTAAGACGCCCAGGGAGAGGAGTGGAGAAGAAGAGGAAGAGAGGACGGCGACGACCATGCGGAAACAGAGTGCCACTCGAGTGCCGGGCTGACGCAGTGGCGGAACCTGCCGCAGGCAGCTGGATAAGCATCTCGCCCCCGCCTGTGGCAGCTCGTCTGGCAGGTGGAGCAGCAGCTGCCGCGCCGGCGGAATCTTCAGCGCCTGGTGGACCCGATCCTGCAGCGCCTGAAGTCCGGCTCCCTGAGGCAGCGACAGCCAGGCAGACGCTGCAATGCAAGCACCGCCCGCAAAGCCTCCTCCGGAGGCCCGCTGTAGCATCTTCTCCGTAACAACGCGCACTGTGCAAGCCCTGCTGCCAGGCGCCGGCTGCGGCCGCGCCACGCCAGGGGCGGCAGGAACGGCTGGTCTCAGCACCCCCTGGGCCCTGTGGCCTTTGACATAGACCGCCGCCCTCGCCGGGACGTCGCTGGTGCACAGCCACTGGTCAGGGCCGCTGCCAGCGGTGGGCCGCCTCACCAACGTGTACACTTGGCCGTCGCCGTCCAGCATCCACTCGCCCCCGCCACGGAGGAAGGCCACGCATCTGTGGCCAGCGCAGCTGCCGCACACGAGGGCCAGCAGATGCCAGACCTCACCACCACCTGGCGTCTGGACCAGGTGCGGCACCTCCAAGATCTCGCCCCGCGGCACCGTGCTCATCATGCGCAGCGTGACTACCGCGCCGGTCAGCCCGCCGCAGCCAGCCGCGGCGCGAAACACCTCCGAGATGGAGCCCCAGCCGGTGTCGTGCACCCGCAGCTGCTCCCCGGGCAGCGGCTCCCAGACATGCTCCCACTCGAGCATCGTGCGGAAAGACACGGCCGAGCCGTGCGCGGCGGAGAACCAGGCGGCGAACCTCGACAGGACGCCGTCGGCGTCGTCGCGCTGGAACGCCTCGCCCACGGCGCCCAGCAGCCCCGGGAGGCCCGCGGCGCCTGCGGCGTCCACGCCGTCGGCCTTGGCCGCCTCCGCCGCGAGCGGCCCGCCCTCCTTGGGAGAAGAAAAGAAGGCAAAAACAACAACTTTTGGCGCTCCGCGCGGATTTCTTGGATCCGCGTCCCTGGACCCCCCTCCCCAGCGCGGGGCGCGCCAGGGGCGGCGCCGGAGGCGCCGCCGGGGGGGGGGGCCCAAGGCCGCGGGTCCAAGATATCCGCGCGGTGCTTTTGGCGTTTTTTCTTCTTCGGCTCCTTCGGGAGGGGAAAAAAGCACACACAGCCACAATTGACCGGTGACTCCCAGGAAGATATGGGAAGGTATGCGAAGTGGGGGGGAAGACGACACTCCAGAGAATGTTGAAAAATACATGGAATCCTGCGATTTGCGTGTATCTAGTTGTGTGTCCCTGGGCCCCTTCGACTCCTGCGCGAGCCGGCCGCCCCAGCCCTCGCCAATGGCCGCGTCCCAGCGCGTCCGCACGTAGCGCTGCGCCTCGGCGAAGCGCAGGCCGAAGCGCCGGGCCACCACCGCGGCCACGAGGGCAGCGCACGCCTCGCCGTCGCGGGGCTCCCGGGGGAACACGAGGGCCTGTGTTGGGCCGATGTTCCACCATCACTACCACAGGTAGGAGAGGGGGGAGGGGGACGGAGAGGGGGAGGGGGAGGAGGAGGGGGGGGAGGAGGAGGAGGAGGAGGAGGATGAGGAGGAGGAGGGGGAGGAGGAGGAGAGGGAGGGAGGAGGAGGAGGGGGAGAAGGAGGGGAGGAGGAGGATGAGGAGGAGGAGGAGGAGGAGGAGAGGAGGAGGAGGAGGAGGAGGACCTCCCCATCCCCCCTTCTCCCCCGTCCTTCCCATGATAGAGGTGGTGGAGAATTGGCCCATCAGGCCTGCCAGGCGGCGTCGGTGCCCGTCAGCGCCTGGTCGAGCGCGGCCTCCACGAGCTCGACGACGGCGGCCGCGGAGCGGGCCTCCCCCTCGGCGGAGGCCGAGTCCTCGACCAGCTCCACGGTGTCCCTGCAGCCGCGCAGCTTGAGCAGGCGCACCGTGAACTCCAGGGCGGGCCCGGACAGCCCGCCGACCTCCAGCAGCCAGCCCACGCCCGCGCTGTGCAGCTCCACGAGCACCTTGGACTCCCGCTGGCGGCCGTCCTGAGGGGCAACAATAGGGGGGACTGGCATAAAGGGGGGATGCATCGACATGGAATCGGCGACACATCGCCGATAGACCGGCGATATGCCCCTGACCGTGAATCCGCACCTTCCTGGGCAGGTTGGGGCTATCGGGCCCCTGTCGGCGATCAGTGGGCGACTGGGGGTCGATGCGTCCCCCCCTGTGCCCATGCCCCCCATCGTTGCCCCCGACGTCCCCGACCATCACGCCCTCCGAGCCGACGAGGAGGCCGGGGAAGACCTCCTGGGCCAGCGCGCAGGGCAGGTCCTCGCAGGGCGGCAGCAGCCCCGGGGCGGGGGGCAGCGCGTGCTCCGCCCCGCCGCGGGGCGCGCGGGCGCGGCCGCTCCTCGGCGCGGGCGGCACACCTGCAGCACCGCCCGCGCCCGGCCGGGGCCACGCCTGGGCCCTGGTGCCCACACCCGAACAGCACGATCGAAGAGCACGCACCCATACCCACAGGGGGGATGGAGGGGGCCATGGATGCGTGATGTCGGATGGGGGTCCCCGCTCGAACGGGAGCCTCCCCCAGGGTCCGACAACCCGCACCCGTACCCATAGCCAGTCCTCCTCCTTCCGACCCTCCAATGGGTATGTATGGGTGTGTTGTCCGCTCGTCAGGTACGGTGCATATGCGCCCACAGCTATCGGATGCCCGGGAGGCCTGCACGGTTTCCCGGGGCCCAGGGCGGCCCTGGCGGGGCGAGGCGGTGGTGGCGGTGTATCTAGAGGCCTCCTAGATGGGGTCGGAGCAGATGGGGTCGGAGGGGTCGGAGGATCGCGCCGCATCGCCGATGCATCGTCGACACGTCGGCGATGCATCGGCGACGTCGACGTGAAACACATCGGGCCCCACATCGAGCCGCATCTGGGAGGCCAAGCGTCAGGTCGGGCATGCCCTCCTACAGGCGGCTTTTGGACGACAAATGGAGAAGAGTCAAAAGATAACAGACGGATCGTCCCCATGCTATGTCTTATTATCTTGGGATAGTCCTCCTGTCGAGGGACATGCCCGACTCAAGCCTAGAATATCGAGCCCCCCTGCGGCTCCTCTCGCCCGTCGGGCCGCCGCGCCCCACGTCCCGCGCGGCGCCGCCCGCGCGGCCCGCCTCCCTCAGCACGCCGGGCCCCGCGAGGCACAGCCCGCAGACGATGGCCCGCAGCGGCGCGCAGCACAGCCCCTCGGCCAAGGGGCCCCCGCACACCTCGCGGGCCTCCGCGAGGTGGAACCGCAGCTCCGCGCGGACCCGCAGGGCGCCCGCCGCGGCCACGAACGGCGGGCCCACCTCGGCGAGCGGCAGCACGGCGAAGAAGATCTCGTTGTTCTGGGGGGTGAAGACCCACCTCACTGTCCTGGAGGAGGAGGGGGGAAGGAGGGGGAGG